AACTGCAGAAGACAGTGTAAAGCTAGGCTTCTTAAACTTTCACTCCTGAGGAAAGCCTTTTTGCCTGAGGAATTTTTACATGACCTCAGGTATGTTAAATTAGGCTCTCAAACCAAATATTTACTGATAAAGCTTTAAAATGTATTTTAAAACAATTATTTGATGTGTATATATAATTTCACTATTTATTAAAGATCAAAACAAATTTTCATACTAATGAGATGGATGTGCTTGTTACCTCTACATAAAGAATTAAATTTTGACTGAATAATACTGCAGGATGTGGAACATCTTTGATGGCTTTTATAGTTGGTGGGTATTTTGATTTTATAATCGTCAATGCTGAAAACACTTCATATAAATACATAGTACAAAATAGCAGAAGTATTTGTTTAGGGATATTTTTAAAAAGTTGTTGGAAAATCTGTTGAAATTCCAAGCCTTTCAATACATCATTAATGATTAATGATTGTTATTTAATTTTTAATGAAATTCAAGTTACCATCTCAAGCAGCAGTTTTTAAAATCTTAACATTCAACACAATCCAATCCAATGATATACTTATTTGATGCTTACATGCTAAGGAGTGAAGGTAGGAAAATATTGTCTTTGTTTTCCATAGTTAAACCATTGTTTCTATAAGAACAAAAAACTGTATGTACAGTAAAATACTACAGTTCTTCACATACAATAGTCTGAAATACGATCCTAGTTGACAGGCAGCATTGGTTGTTGCATGGTGTGACAGCACACACAGTGCAACGTGCACATACCTGTTCGGAACCAAGGCTGCAGTGAAACCATGCAGTGCGGCATGGGCAAACACTGCCAGAAGCACTCCAGGTTTATTTCCCGTTTGATTTTGAATTAATTTTTGGTGGTTGCATTAAATTTTCCCCAAACCCCCACATAAGACTACAACCCACTGTTTGAGAAGCTGGGGTACAAAGCTCTTGGCTCTTGCTTCTAGTCAGTGAATAGTAGTTGCGTCATTTTCCTCTAACATCTACAAGTAGGGTTTGCTTCATGGTTATAATACAATTAGACTTACCTACTTCCTGAGGAAAAGGGAGGCAGACAGTAGAGCCCTTCAGACAAGCCACTTTCTGAAGGAGCCATATAGGTTACTGCATCCATCCTGGGTGAGGTACTCCCTGGCTCTGAAGGGTTGTGGGAATAGCAGGAATCATGTGTAGGCTAGTGTTACACCCAGGTCATCTGTGAGCCTCGGAGGAAGGAGGTCAACCAATGGTAAATGTGGGTACAGTTTAGCAATGGCTTTAATTGTAGAATTTTGGCAGATTCCAGACAATTGGCACCTTTAAGATACAACACAGAAATAGTGGTGATTCCGAAATGTAAGGCTTGGCACACGCCTTTAATCCCAGTACTCGGGAGGCAGAGGCAGGCGGATCTCTGTGAGTTCAAGGCCAGCCTGGTCTACATAGTGAGTTCCAGGACAGCTGGGGCTACAGGGAGACCCTGTCTCAAAAAAACCAAAAAAAAAAAAAAAGGAAATGCAAGGCTATTGAAGAGGTGGGTGGTCCCTTTTGTTCAGTCCTTCAAGGGACTTCTTCCAACTACAGACTTTGAAACATTTTATGTCCTCCGGAGATGCTAACCTGCTAATCCATGTTTTTCAAAGCAGGGCAAATAGTGGTTTTACAGCTTGGGTTTGTAGCATGAATGGCAAGCCCAAGGGGAAGTAGCAGTTTGACCTTCATGAATGGATGTCTTCTGAATTATTAGTCTCACTTCCTGGGCCCACATACTTGTAAAGTACTGCAGACAAACTTTTGTATTTCTTATATAAAGAGTATTGATCATCTTTTAGACCTGGGTGGCTCCCCGCTTACTGGGAATTGTTAACAGCTCTCTTGCATTTATGTGGCACTTCATCTTCCTGCATCCTCACTTCAAAAACTAAAGCCACTCTCCCCACGCAGCCCCGGCTTGTACATAGTTCCTGCCTGTGCTTGCAGGTATCAGCCATGGCTTGTACATAATTCCTGCCTGTGCTTGCAGGTATCAGCCATGGCTTGTACATAGTTCCTGCCTGTGCTTGCAGGTATCAGCCATGGCTTGTACATAATTCCTGCCTGTGCTTGCAGGTATCAGCCATGGCTTGTACATAGTTCCTGCCTGTGCTTGCAGGTATCAGCCATGGCTTGCGTGTTAGAACTTGTCCTTCCCCTTGTACTGTGAGTGCTGTCCACTGCTTCCTCACCTGGCATTCCACAACATCTCCCGGGATTCCCAGTGGGAATGAGTACTAGAATCACCTGGAAGGTTGAAGACAGTGATTTCCTGCTCCTTCTTCTGTTCTGATGTAGTAGTTCAAGAAGGGCAGAGCTGGTGTACTCAAGAATCTGCATTTGTAACAAGAAAAATGCCCAATGGCCAGATCATTTTAATGTGGATGGCCTGGGTCACACTTTTATAGACAATAATAAACAGCATTGTCTCTGGCTGTGCTTTGTTCATTTAGTTTCTGTTCCACAGTCCTAGAGAAGGAAAGAAGTTGGCCCAGTGAGTGGGTACCATTCGTCTCCCTTACCAGAGGCAGCTGCTGCACATGCATATGAGCAAGAACAGGAGGAGTCCAAGGAGAGGGCGATGGACAGCTTCACTGTCCAGTGCTGTGTTATCACATGCCTGTTGCACATACCATTACATGTCTTGTCCCAGCTGCTTTTCCCTAAAACTACCTAGTCCAGGCTGAATACCCTTTAGTAAAATGCTTCAGACCAGAAGATTTTCAGGTTTTACTTTATAGCTGGGTAGGTTAGCACATAACCTGTAATCCCAATTCCTAGGAGATGGAAGATTCCTGCTACAAGTCAGAGCTACCCTGGGCTACATAGTGAGTACCAAGCCAACCAGGGCTACATGTGAGACCATTTTTGAAATAGCCTTTTGAGATTATTTTAGATTTTGACATATTTGTATATTCATAATTAGGTATCTTGAAGATGAGATGCATGTCTCAACATGAAATTTGCCTTTGCAGGGGCTGGAGAGATGGCTCAGTGGTTAACGGTGCTGACTGCTCTTGCAGAGGAACCAGGTTCAATTCCCAGCACCCACATGGCGGTTAACAACTGTCCATAACCCTAGTTCCAGAGGCTCCAACACCCTCTTCTGACCTCTGTAGGCACTGCATGACATGGGTGCATTTACACACATGCAGGCAATACACTCATACACATAAAAAATAAAAATAATAAATTTTTTTAATGTAATGAGTATATTGCATGCATGTATGTAAGTGCACCTGTGATATACATTGCCTATGGAGGTCAGAAGAGGGCATCAGATCCCCTGGAACTGGAGTTATGGATGGTTGTAAGCCCCCATGTGAGTGCTGGGAATCAAACCCAGGTCCCCTGCAAGAGCAGCTAGTACTCTCAACTGCTGAGCCATTTCTCTAGCCGCATACCTCACCAGTCACGTGAGGTCAGATGTGAAATCTTATATTTAATCTTATATTTGGTACTCAAAAAGTTACAGGTATCTAATCTTTTAAGTTTCAGATTAAGGGTTGCTGTGCTCTTTCCGTATGAACTTTGAATAGAGGTACAAATAACATAAAAGCTTAAATGTTTCATCTAAGGTGACTAATCCCTCGAGTCCTTAATGAACATACTCTATAACATCTGTCTATAAAGACAAGACATACTTGAGACTTTGTATCCTTACAAACAGTCCTTTCCTGTATAGTAATATACTGAACCTTGCATACTGGTCTTTCCGTGAATGTGTTGAATAGCTAAATAATACACAAACTTGGAAATTAAGCAGGGAGGTGTTAACTATTATCTTAAAATTAAGAATATTGGAGAAAATATTGATTAAAAAGTTTTTGCCTAAAAGATAAGACCGAAAGGCAATTATTCTGAGTCTCCCAGTGTGTTATTTACTGAAAGCACTTTTTGTATGTATGGTGAGGCCAGGAATAGTGTTTTCCTGAGCTAGGGTAGCAGACATGAGCCTGATTTGAAGCAAAAGAGAAAGGGACATGTGAGAGAAGGACTCCCCAGGGTCATACTGTTGCCAGGGCAAATCCAAAACGTCTAACTGCAATGTACAAGTTTATTAAAAAACGCTGCAGAGGTTGTTAAAATAGAAACAGGAAGGACAGCATCAGAAGCAGCTGCTCTCCAGCCCCCACTTCCAAAGTTTAAGGTGTTAGAGTTGCAGCTATCACCTGCAGTGGACAGCTCAGCCTTCTGCTGAGTAGTCCTTCAAGACTGTTCATGTATATGACTTTCTGTGAGATGTGTCCTTCATTTCCTTTTCTCTATATAAAATTTGGGGAAGAATGTTGGGAAATTACAGAAAGAAGATAGAAGATGTCTGGGCTTTATACTGTTTTGAGAATGAATACTGGCTTTCAGACATGGTAGCTTCACAGAAGCCTATTTAGTATGAATATCACTCTTGTATTCATTTAAATCCCACCCTACCTCCTGCTTAGCAAAGATAATAAGTAATTTCTCCATGTTAATGTGCACCATAATTTTTACAAAGGGCCCAGCTTCCCAAACTAAATTAACTTAAATTTTTTTTTTTTTTTCTTTTGAGACAGGGAGACCCTGTAGCCCCAGCTGACCTGGTACTGCTGTGTAGGCCAGGCTGGCCTTGAACTCACAGAGATCCGCCTGACTCTACCTACCAAGTGCTGAAATTTAAGGCATGCACCACCATGCCTGACTCAAAATTTTATTTTTTATTATGTTTTTGGTCTTTTTGAGACAGGGTCTTCTTGTAGCAAAAGCTGGCCTGGAACTCACTATGTAGACCAGGCTGGCCTTGAACTCACAGAGATATGGCTGCCTCTGCCTCCCATGTGCTTGGATTAAAGGTGTGCGCCACCATGGTGACCTTTAATATATTTTTTTAAATTCTTTGAAAACATATTCATACCATGTATATTTTGATCATATTCACCCTCCACTCCTCCCTCTAACTCTTCCTGGTTATCTTCTCTGTTTTTTAGGGACACGTGACCATCAGTAATCATGAAGAACCCATTTGCACACCTATCTGAGCCCTTGGATCCTGCACAACCAGGAAAGAAATTCTTTAATTTGAATAAATTAGAGGACTCAAGATATGGTGGGTACATCGGTCCGCAGTGTAGTTGCTGTGATTACAATTGGAATCTTGTGCAACTGGTTATGCAATTTATTAGCTTCTAAGAAAATTGGAAGAGGTTGTAGGAGCGAGTAGTGAATGTTTGTGGGTTAAACACACAAACACACACACAGACACACACACACACCTTTCCTGCATTGGTTATTTTTGAGTAGGTTTGATATTTGTGTACGTTTATATACTGTTGTATATAGAGGGTTTATGCATTTCATAGCACAGTGTATAGAGTCTTTGGGATTATGTTTATGAAAAATAAGTCCCAAGGAAGGTGAGGCATGAAGAAAGTCAGCGAAAGGCAGTGTGAGGGCGGCAGGGGAGGACAAGGACAAGGCACTGGAGCTCTGAATCCTACTGTATGTTTTAGTTTTCCAGGTAATAGCCATTTTCATAAATCAAGATGGAACTTTTATTTTGTAAATAAAATAGGTTTTCTTATTATCATTTTTTCCCCTAGAAACTCCATTTAAAGTGGCCATGCCACAATGGTATTTAAGGTATTTAATTGTAAATGGGTTGTTTCTCATTTATTGAGAATAATTATGAAGTTTTACTCTGTATATGTAAATCTATATATGTACACGAATATACATATATATGTGTGTGCGTGCGTGTGTGTGTGTGTGCGCGCGCGCGCGCGCGTGTATGTAACGCCCTACAGATCACACTGTAAGAATGTAGATTGGTGGTAAACCATGAAGACTTAGTGGAAGCTTTCCTTTCTGTTACTGAAATCCAAAATAAGGCAACCATTTAATATGAACAAACAAACTGTAGCATTTTATTTTTACTTGGTCTGTATTTTCTACTACTGATATCTTTTAAATCCATTTACTATGTGTGTTTTATCACTGCACATACATTTTACACTTAGCAATCAGTTTACCTTCTTTTCCTATAGGAAGAATAATCTGATGCCTCCCGTCAAGTTTATGGAGAGATGCATTTAAAGAGAGCTCTCATCACAGAGTGCCTGGTGCTTTTGTTTAGGTTAATGCTTTCTGCCTTCACTCTCAGGACGCTTGCCGTTTTCTATCCGAGTTCTCCTGGAGGCAGCTGTTCGGAACTGTGATGAGTTTTTGGTGAAGAAAAATGACATTGAAAATATCCTGAATTGGAATGTCGTGCAGCATAAGAACATAGAAGTACCATTTAAGCCTGCCCGTGTCATCCTGCAAGACTTCACGTGAGCTAATGTCATTTCTCTTCCCCTCTGCCTCCCTTGTCAGCCTTTTAAGAAAGGTTTTGCTTCAACAAAAAATGCTTTGTCTCTCAATATCCAGACACTTCTGAAAGCAAAAGGAGGCTCTTGTCCCTGGTGACAAGAGGAGACCAGAATGTCTGTAGCAGTCCCAAGATGTGTGGTCTCCCCACATTGGCAAGAACCACTGTCCTTACCCTAGGCCTGAGTATACTGGGAAGGGTGGAAGACAGAATACGATAGAGCTGTCTGGAACCTTTGGTCCAGGAGCCCGAACACAGCTGTGCTGTCTGCAAGGAGAGATGAGGTACTAAGGGAGGTCTGATGTGCTCAGCCTCAGCTCACGTCCTGCTGTTCCTGGGAATCCAGGCTTCCCTTCATAGCTTCTTTCCTGAGACCCAGTCTTCCCACTTTGAAATGATAGTATTTTATTCCTTTTGTGAACCCAGTTTCTTTGTTCTAGAAGAAAATCACCCAAATTTTATGCGTTTAAGATAATAAAAAGACTGATTTTAGTACAAACCTGGTTGACAGCCCACTTTCTGAATTATGTCTGTGACTTTTTTCTTTTTCTGCACATTGTGTATATTCATAATATGTGGTAGGTACTATGTTGCATACAGGAATTTTCACACAAGTATACAATGTTTGTCAAATATATTGTTTCCTTTTCTTACCCCACTCCCCTCCTGGTAGTCCCCTTCTCCTAGACAGTTTGTACTTTCATGCCACCATGATTTTATGGATCTAAATGAAAATCTAAGAACCACAGTAAGAGAAAACATACATTGTCTTTCTGAAAGTGGCTTAATTCACTTGAGATTATCTCAGGTGCATCCATTTTACTGTATGTGATATAACTTCCTTCTTGATGGCTAAAAAATTTCACTCTGTGTGTGTGTGTGTGTGTGTGTGTGTGTGTGTGTGTGATACTTTTTATCCATTCCTCTTTTGTTAAACACCTATGTTGGTCCATTAACTTCACTATGGTGAATAGTGCTTCAGTAAACATTGATGTGCAAGTGTCTCTGTGATAAGTTGACTTGAGTCCTTCGGTAAATCCCAGGAGTGGTAATAGCTGGGTCATATGGAAGATCCATTTTGAGTCTAAGAGATCTCCATACTGACTTCCATTGTGGCTAGATTAATTCACATTTCTACCAGAGTGTCTAAAAGTTCCCTTTTCTCTACGTTCTCACCAGAGTTTGTTACTTGTTTTCTTCTGACTGCAAAGAGATGGACCCTCAGTGTAGTTTTACTTTACATTTCTTTAATGACATTGAACATTTTTTCACACATTTATTGGCCATTTGTATTTCATCTTTTGAAAACTATGAATTTCATAGCCCATTTATTGAGTTGATTTCTTTAGTTTTTTTTTTTTTTAGTTCTTTCTATTCCAGTTATTAATCCTCTGTCAGATATATAGCCAGCAAAGATTTTCTTCCATTATGTAGGCTGTCTCTTTACTCAGTTAACCATTTCCTTTGCTGTGTAGAAACTTTTTCATTTGATGAAGTTCAATTTGTAAATTGCTGGCCTCCCCATCGCCCACACAAATGATTGGAATCCCCTCAGAAAGTTCTTGCCTACACTTAAAGTGGTTTTCTGCTATTCCCGCCTAACAATTTCATAGTTTCCAGCCTTACATTAAGGTCTTTGATCCATTTGGAGTTGATTTAGTGCAAGGTGAGACTAGGGATCTGGTTTCTATCCAGTTTTCCAGCACCATTTGTTAAAGAAGCTGTCTTTTCTCCAATGTGTGTTTCTGACATTTTTCAAAAATCAGGTGGCTGTATCTGTGAGTTTATATCTGGGTCCTCTATATATTCCTTTGGTCTATATGTTCATTTTTGTTCTGAGTGCTATGCTGTTTTGTTGCTATGGCTCTGTAGTATAACTTGAAATCAAATATGGCGATACCTCTAGCATTCTTTTTGCTTTCTGTGATGGTTAGTGTTGTCAACAGATTTTATATGTCACCTGGGAGATAAGCCTCTGTGAGGGTTATCCTATTGTATTGCTTTGAGAAGACCTAACTTCCTTGTGGGCCAGACCATTCCCTAGGCAAGGGGTTCTGGACCGGACAAGGGGAGTGTGGAGCAGGAGCTGAGCACTAGCATGCTTGCATTCTTTGCTCTTTTCTGCTGTGGGCGTAATGTAACCAGCTGCTTCAGGCTCCAGATGCCTTGACTTCCTGCTGTGATGGATGTACCTGAAACTGTGAACTAAAATAAAGCCTTTCTCCCTTAGTGAATTGCTTTTGTCAAGAGTATGTGACAAAGCCAGAGTCTTTGTAGTTCCATGTGAATTTTAAGATTTTTTTTTTTTCTAGTTCTGTGAAGCTTTGGAAATTTGGTGAGGGTTACATTGAACCTATAAATCACTTTTGGCAATATGGCCTTTTTCACAATATTAATTAATCCACCCCATGGTATGGGAAGTCTTCCCATCTTCTAACATCTTCAGTTTCTTCAGTGTTTTGAACTTTTCATTGTAGAGGTGTTTCATGAATATTTTTCCTTTTGCTTCCCTTCTTGGGAGACTCACACCATACCCTCTGAGGCTCCAGGGCTCACAAACAGGCATTTCTATATGGGTTTTGCATGGTTTATATGACATTAGGAGGCAATGACTTACAAAGAGATGGCTTTTCATAACCCACGATCCAAACCCTGCACCCTCTGTTGGCAGCTTCCCCACAGCTGCTTCCTTGGCTCTCAGAGTTCCAATATGACCACCGTGATATCTCTCCATCTCTCGGGGCTAGGCTAACTCTCCTTCCCAGTGTACATGCATAGCTGTCCTTAGCTCTGCTCCTTAATACGCTGGACTCCTCCTGCAAAGCATGGGAAGGAGGTGGGGCCAGGGCTTATCAGAGGAACATCCAGAGTCACAAGAGGTCTTTCACTTCTTTGGTTAGTTTTCTGCTTGCTTCTCTTTCCTCAGGGGCGTGCCAGCTGTGGTTGACTTTGCAGCAATGCGCGATGCTATGAAGAAGTTGGGAGGAAATCCAGAGAAAATAAATCCTGTCTGTCCTGCTGATCTTGTAATCGATCATTCCATCCAGGTTGATTTCAACAGAAGGTGAGGAGGGTTAAGCTTTGTGCAAAAACTTGGAACATACTTTTTTTTTTTTGTCTTTTTGAGACAGGGTCTCTCTGTAGCCCCAGCTGTCTTGGAACTCACTATGTAGACCAGGCTGGCCTCGAATTCACAAAGATCCTCCTGCCTTTGCCTCCCAAGTGCTGGGATTAAAGGCATGCGCCACCACGCCCAGCTCTTGAACATAACTTTTTTTTTAAATAAATTATGCATGTTGTGCTGGCAATATGGCTTGCTCCTGAGCCCAAGGACCTGAGTTCAGTCCTTGGGGACCCACATAGTGGAAGGAAAATTGAGCCAACTTTTGCAAGTCATCCTCTGGTCTCCACTTTCATGTTGTGTTATATGCACACTTACATACATTCACACACATGGAGAATAAACAAATCAATGTCAAAGGTTAAGTGTGTTATAGGGACTTAAGAATATCTTTAAAGGTATTGTCAGGAAAATTGACTTTGCAATGAAATTTTGAGGATAGGGAATGGATATATTTAAACCTTTTATTGCATGTCTTTTTACTTTGGATTTAAATGCTCTGTATTTAAATGTAGCTTGAAGTCTGAGTGAAAACACATATTACATTTTGCCATGAGAGCTTGTCAGAGCAAGTGCTGCATGTCTGGCTTTAGAAGCATTTGAGTGGGATTTCTTATTATTGTAATATATTTTGTATTTTGTGTATATGAGTGTTTGCCTGCATGTATGTTAATGTACCGTAGGCATTGTATTAGAGGCTGGAGGGGACATTTGATCCCCTGGAACTGAAGTTATGGCTAGTTGTTAGCCACTATGTTGGTACTGGGCACCAAACCCAGGTCCTCTGGAAGAACAGCAAGTGCTCTTAACTGCTGAGCCAGCACCCCGCCCCGACCCTCCCAAGTTTGAGTGTTTTTAGTCCACTGGAGTTGTATTCCTATTTTAATGACAAGTAACTGCTTTGTATGTGGCTGCCACAGTGCCTGCCCCTTGTCTTCTCCTTTGCTTCTTCTCTTTGGGGGCTATCCTCTTCTCTCCTGCCAAAATCCTCCATCTTTCATAGCCAGCTTAAATTCCCTTGTCTCAGAAATCCCTCACTTCCCAGCCTGCATGGTGGTCATCTTGCTAGACTTCTTGTCGATGGCAATCCTGTGGTCCTTGGGAGTACGTTTCCCCTTGAATTGTCTCGAGCCCCTGAACTGTCAGCTCCCCAAATACAAGAGCTGTGCCTGTAATAGGCATTGAGCATACTTAACCAGGTAACCTTGAAGTTATCTTTAGGTTGGATGAGAAGCTAAGGTAACATGACTGTGGTACCTTTAGATGGGGATGAGCTAAATTTCTCAATATGATTGAGTTTTTCTTTCTTGTCCGTCCCTTCAACGTTGGCACCCAAAGGTGTGGGTATGAAAATGTCTTTGTAAAGAAAACTTTCTACAAAGAAGAAAATTGAACAATTGAGCATTGCAAAATAGCAACTTCAGAATTGCTTCATAATAAACCTTTAAAAAGTAAATACTTCTTAAGCCAAATGTTTCTAGCATTTATAATCCTAGCTCATTGAACAGGTAACTGTCTCAGTTCCGTGTTTACAAGTCAAGTGGTGATGCTCAGTTTTCCTGACACATTTGTTTTAGTGAACTTTTATTCTTCATTCTCATTCTCCAGAAGCCTTTTCTTTAAATTGAAGTTGTTAAAAGTTAATATTTAGGCTAAAAAACATCAAAGTAGTCAGTGTTATTGTGCATTCCTGTGTAATGCTCTAAAAGGCTCAGAAAGTTCAAAATGTGCAGCAATAGAATCCAAGTGATGCACCAGTGTGTTGTGGACCAAAGAACACCTGTTGAAGTTAACTTAAAGAAAAGAGAAACTAGTTGCCTTTGCCCTTTGAGTCAAAATGGAATAGATGGGCAGGAAGAGATGAGAGCAAACTCTACTTGTCCTTTACTCTAAAAGGCAGAGTTTATACCACTGAACCAGGAAGGGTTTTCTGCAAAGATAAGTACAACAATCAGCTATGGTTGTATAGAAAATAGCTCCAGAATCTCAGTGGCAGTCAGCAGTGAGAATGTTTTTCTGACATGTCTGCAGGTTGGTTGGGAGGTGAACTTATGAAGGTTGGGGTAGTTGGGCAGTTCTGCTTCATGCAGCAGTGGCAGTGGCTGGGTTGTCTGTGAGCACTGAACTACCAGGGCAGCTGTGGTAGCTCCATTCCATTCGTGTTTCTTTGGGGCCCACATTAAAGAAGAAAGCATCTAATGATCACAGAGACTGAGAAGAGCATTAGAAACATGCAGTATCTCCTGACGCTTACCTGAGAACCAGTATAGGGCCACTTCTGTCCATAGTGCTGCTGGTCAAGTGATAGAGTTAAGACAGAAATCAGGATAGAAAAGAACAGTCCACCTCTTACAGGAATAACTGTAGGACTATAGAACCGGTTCAGACATGGGGAGAGATCAAGTAGTGTAGGAAGCTAGCATCTGTCTTGGAAGAGTAACTGCATGAAGGTGGGCTGTAAGTGGAGAAGAACATCTTCCACATTGATTAAGTAGTTGGTAGAGGGGTAGTTCATATGAGTTAAAACATAAAGTTTTTTTTTTAATTGTGAAGAAATACTTATCAGGGAGCCCAAGGTAGGAACTCAGGGCAGGAACCTAGAGGCAGGAGCTGAAGCACAGGCCATGGAGGAATGCTGCTGATTGGCTTGCTCCCCTGGCCCCTGCCCAGCCTGCTTTCTTATGCAACACAGGCCCACCTGCCCACCCATAGTGGGCTGGGCCCTCCCACATCACTCAACAATCAAGAAGGTGCCCCATGGACATGGCCACAGGCCAGTCCAGTGAAGGCATTTCCCCAATTCAGGTTCCCTCAACCCAGGTGTGTCAAGGAAATAACTCAAATTACTTGCAACACTGGCCCCTGCCCAGCCTGCTTTCTTATGCAACACAGGCCCACCTGCCCACCCATAGTGGGCTGGGCCCTCCCACATCACTCAACAATCAAGAAGGTGCCCCATGGACATGGCCACAGGCCAGTCCAGTGAAGGCATTTCCCCAATTCAGGTTCCCTCAACCCAGGTGTGTCAAGGAAATAACTCAAATTACTTGCAACAGATATGACAAAAGGTTAATATCTTAATATATAAATCATATATTTATAAATCTACTTAGAAAAATAGACCCAGCAGATAAATGGGCAAAGAGCAATGTATAGTGAAAAGGAATGCCAATAGTGTAAAAAGTGGTATAGAGAACTTTTTCAGCTGAGCATGGTGGCTCACACCTTTAATCCCAGCACTCAGGAGCCAGAGGCAGGCGGATCTCTGTGAGTTCCAGGCCAGCCTGGTCTACATAGTGAGTTCCAGGCCAGCTGGGGCTACAGGGAGACCCTGTCTCAAAAAGACCAAAAAAAAAAAAAAAACTTTTTTAATCTTCTCAGTAATAAAGGAAAATAAATACTTATGATACCATCTTCTCAACAACAGAATTAAGATTAGAAAACAAACCTTAACTATTAAAGTGTTGAGGGAAAGCATTACATACATTGCTAACAGCACTGTGATTTATAAATTATGAAAACAGTATGTAGTAAGACCTTGGAAGTCTACATCTTCCAAACATGCTCTTAATAAATATTGGAAATCCAGAAAGAGCTTCATGACCAGCAGTGTTCATTAAAGTATTGTTTAATAAATGAAAACCTAAAAACCTTCTACATGTCCTACAAAGAGGAATAATGTATTGACATAGGGCATACCCCTGACATTGATTATTAGGTAACCCTGCAGTTATATTTGTGGATTAAGTTCTCAGTATCACTTAGAACATGTTCATATTGTAGCTCATTGTGCCAGAAACTAAATTGTGTATATATGAGTACTAGAAACCAGACCCAGTTGTGCAAGAAGAAATGAAAGCGATTCCAGACTGCTAAACAGTTATCTTTGGTATTGTAACTGGTCTTTATTTTTAAAATAAGAAACTACTATTTGATAATTTAACAGGTCATTTAAAAATACAAAATAAACCACTCAAAGGGAAATAAATTACCTTTTGTTTCTTTTGCTTCTTTGGAGATGTAACTGGGTTTCACACAGCCTCTAAGGGGATTTAGGAAACGACAGTTTTCTTGCTGTATCTAGACCAGAGCAATTTGGCATAAAGATAAATATAGTCAGTCCCCCGAGGTGATAAATCTTGTACAAATAGTCTCTATACTCAGAGCACAACTTGTAAGCTTCTCTCCTTCCACCATGTGGGTCCCAGGGTTGATTTTTCAATTTTTCCTGATCTTTTTTCCATTTTTTTAGGAGTTAAATGCAATAGATCCCTCTTGTGGGAACTCTGTACTGTGGGCTTACTACCAGCTCTGTACTAGAATGAGCTAGAAAAACTGGGTAAGGTGGCAGGGTAGTCCATTTTCAGGTAGTTATTTCTGAGCTCTTTGTCTAGTTTGAATATCATTTTGCCTTGTGTCATCTTTAGGAACTGAGGACCTAACTAACACGTTGTACTGTTTCCTGGAGAAATACCCCTCATTTTCCTTCAACAAGAATTTCACAACAATTTCTGACCAAATTTGATAGTGAAAAATACCCTCTTTGTAAATATTACTTGTGAATTTCTAGAATTCTATTCAGTGTCTCTGAAACTCTGAACTACGGCCAAATGTGTGATTTTTTTTTTTTTTGTCTTTTTGAGACAGGCTCTCCCTGTAGCCCAGCTGGCTTGGAACTCACTATGTAGACCAGGCTGGCCTGGAACTCACAGAGATCTGCCTGCCTCAGCCTTCTGAGTGGTGGAATTAAAGGTGTGCACCACCATGCCTGGCTCTAAGTGTGTTTTAAATTATATAACTAAGCATTATATAGCTAAGCAGAAACTTTTCCCTTCTGCTTACAAGGCCATTCACATTCAGAGACCTATTTAGCTCTCTGGATTGGAACTAGGCGTGTTGACACAGATCTGTAATCCTTACACCTGGGAGACTGAAGCAGGAAGAGCAGGGCTTCCAGACCAGCCTGGGCCACACAGTGACTTCAAGGCCAGCCTGAGCTACATGAGAACCTGTCTCAAAAAAACAAAACAAGTTCACCAAATTTGGCTGATTTTGCAAAGTGTTGAATGGTTAAAACAAATTTTGAAAATCTGAATTCTAGGTCTGTGTATTCATTTCAGTCACAGTGAGGTCGACTGAGCTGAGGTTAGCATGATTCTGTTTCGTTATCATAGTATTAGTTTTTACCTGGAATTGCTGTAGCTTGGAACAACCTGAGCATTTCTAAGTTTCTGTTCATTCTGTGAGCTGCTTCTGTCAGACTGATGTCCATAGCATTTTCCCTTCATTCCCTGCTTCTGCTTTGAGAAGCTCTGACATTCTCCTAATGCTGGAAGCAGACAAAGAGTAATGAGTATACAGGTGTCACAGAAGAGATGGGTGCCAGACACAGTGAGTCACAGGCTCACCAGCACTGTAAGAATAATGGTGCAGATCCCTTCTCTAAAGGCAGTTTAACAGACCATATTTATTCATTAAATTTGTGAGTTTAGGAGAAAGAGTTTAGTGAATTCAGTACTTTAATACACTGATAAGTCTGGTCACCCCAGAGAAGGAGCAGACAATCTTGACTTGGGGGTGGGGTCGGAGGGCTCCCCAGGGATGCTGCTTGATCAGGATTCTGATGCATGCTGACCAGAGAGGGAAGAGCTGAGAGTGCATTCTAAGAGCAAACAGAACAGACATGCACGCAAAGAGATTGGAGGGGTGAGAGCTGTAGTGTGGGCACAGTGAGAGCTGGACCAGAGGGTAGGATGGGTCTGCTAAAGGGAGGTTCAGGTCAGGGGAAGGACTTGGTTTTATGAAACAAGGGATTTATAGTGATTGAAAAAAATGGTAAGCAAGCCAGGTGTGGTGGCGCATACCTTTAATCTCAGCACTCAGGAGGCAGAGGCCAGCAGATCTCTGTGAGCTCAAGGCTAGCCTGGTCTACATAGTAAGTTCCAGGCCAGCTAGGGCTAAGGGAGACTCTCTCTCAGAAAAACAAACAAACAAACAAAAAACCCAGCAAGCCGTTGTCAGATACAATCTGATAAAGGTCTGTACAAGTAGAAAACTTGATTCTAATGATATGAAAGATGAGTTTAATAGGTGGGCAGAGAAACTAGCTGGGGCGCTATGTTTGGAGTAAATGCTTTGGTAGTCATAGGTTCTAAATAGAGAGGGGCTCCTTAGATGAGATGTTGGCAGACCGAAAAGAAGGCTGGGCATTAGGATTTCACCTTGATGCAGATGGCTGACATACATTGGAAATGCGAACCTGGGCCTCAAGACAGGCAAGAGTTAGGGAAGATACCCCCAGGACTACTGTCTGCCCTGGGGTCCTGCCTCATTCTGCTACAACTGGACCTGCCCTCTTCTGTGTTTTGGTTTGCCTTTCTCTAGTGTGTAAATACATCTGTTCTCTCAGGTAGGGACTGGAACAATATTTTCTACAAAGTCCAATAGTATTTCAGTTTTTTTCTAGCTACGTGCTATCTCTGTCACATACCACCCCCAACCTTTAAAACATTAAAATCATCCTTTACGTAGGGAGACATTGAGCTGAATTCAGTTCAGGGGCCACAGTTTATAGACTCCTGCTCTAGTGTAGTTTAGGAATCGATCTCATCAAAGCAACTAATATTTTAGAGCATATTCACATCATGAGAGGGGAAAAATTATTTGCTGAGTGTGTTTTTGAGAGATAAGTAATACATACTCTGCCTTTGCCGATACAAACACAGTTCGTGCTTCAAAGGGAATGTGAGATAGTTTATTCTAAGCCAAGTATGAGTTCCCATGGCTGGGGAATTCAGATTCAGGTTGCCCGGAATACATGTTACACTGTGGAAGTGGTTATATAAACTCCAGTCACAGAACAAAGGACAGTCACGAATCAGTGCTTTTGTCAGTTATATTGGTTGGGACATTAGGTGGCCCGGTTACATCAAAGCAGGGAAGTTTGCTGCTGTAGATCACAGGTGTCTAACATTCTTAGCTTTTTGGTTGGTAGAAGCAAGTAGTCTACTAATAACTATGTTAACACATTCCAAAGGTTTCAATTGATAGTCAAAAGAATGCTAGGCCAGATACAGAGGTGGGCGATACTTGGTATGAAAGAACTAAAGATAGTCCAAGATAATTTTAGCTCTGGATGTGCAACATTCCAATTTTGCCCAGTCAGGAAGCCCTAGACAGTCTATCTGTGTGCAGTTTCTTCAACATGGGGGTGGCTTTTTCAGGGAACTTCAGTTCACACCTTCTTCCCAAGGAGTATCTGTCTCATTTTCTTTGGCTGACTTCTGTTATCCTTCTGCCTGCATTGATGCCATTTCTTCTGGAAGCTTTTCTAGCTGAAGTTCATGACCCTTTCTGCCTGCCCCCATGGCACCCTGTACTGCAGTGTGGAGCACTGATAGCTCTATTGTTGCCGGGTTCCTTCTCTTTTTCCTGCCAGGTTCTGTGCTTCACAGGCACTGAATGTGCAGCCTTTGCACCTTTGTATCCCGTGTCGCACAGGATACACTCTCATTAGATGGTTTGTAAGTGAAGGGGGGCGGGATGTGAAGTAGTGTGATTAAGATAGACTCCAGGCCAATCAGACATGGGTTCAGATGACAGTCCTGACTGTGGGCAAGCTATCTAGCTTCCCTAGGCCTTTGCTGCTGCTTCTTGGATTGAGGATAATGTCGGGGGTTGTTATCATGACATAGCAAGATGATGTGTATAAAGCTGAGAGCCTGGATATAGGCTGCACTCTAGCACCTGCCAGTATTCTTGCAGTGATAATGGACCACCACAGCCAGAGTCTCTGTGACTGCACCTGCAGGTCGCATCGTGGTGTGGGAGTGAGCGTACAGGCTGAGTCAAATGCTGGAGTCTCGGTTCCATTTTCACCATTTACCAGCTGTCTAGTGCTTGACCGCTTCCTTAACTTCCGTACATCTCATTTTCCTCACTTGAAAACTGTATATATCATTATGCCCAACTCAAAACGTTCTGATGGAGATTCAATGAAAAGATTAAGCATTTAGGGGCTTGAGATGGCTCAGCAGTTAAGAGCACTAGCTGCTCTTGCAGAGGAACCTGGTTCAATTCCCAATACACACATGGCAGCCAACAACCATCCATAACTCCAGTTCCAGGGGATAGGATGCCCTCTGCTGACCTCTGAGGGCAGTGCATGACATGGTTGCATTTAACACACATGCAGGCAATACACCCATACACGAAAAATAATAAATACTTTTTAAAATATATTAAGCATTTAGAATAGTAGCTGTTTCCTAGTAATGTCAATAAATGTTAACTATTTTATATAATTAATGAAGCTGGACTTGGATCTTAGCTGTGTATGTTTCCTCAGTCCATCACATACAGATTATGAGTGCCTTCTGTGTGCTCAGAGTTGTGATTATGACTGTTCTACAGAATGACCCTGATAAACTTCAGCATATAATCAGAGCTTTCTAGTTGTTCTTAGATAGCAACCATAGGCCCTTTCCTCATAGGCCCCTGTCTGAAAGACAGGAGACTGACATTCTGAAAGTGGCTGGGGCCCTTAGCACAGCTGGCTACTGTCTCCCAACAGAAACACATGAGCATGCCGCCGATGGGTGGTTCAGCTTAGGGAAGTGACAAGGTCATGGACAAGAAGGGGACAGAAGCCAGGGTGCCCTGCGTGTCTGTGCGGTTGTTGTCATTCCATGGCTTGAGTTTGTTTCTGCGAGTCCGACTTTGGGATTAGCTATCACTTGAATGCAGCTGTTTCTTCCAGCATGCTTAAGGGCTTTCTAGAAATCTTGTGAACCAAATAATTTGTTTATATAAATTTTGCAACTTACCTCTCCATTTCCAGATTGTAATAATGAAGTTTGTAATCCAGCCAGCAAGCCAGCAGATGCAATTGCTGTTTTGCGTATTAATCACTGTTTGATGGGTGACATTTTAAACCTTGAAATTTGTACATTTAGTTTTTTTTCTCTCTGACAGGACAGACAGTTTACAAAAGAATCAAGACCTGGAATTTGAAAGAAATAAAGAACGGTTTGAATTTTTAAAGGTATGAACAGGGTTTGTTTCACGTTTGGTGTTCTGTGTTTGTGGAGTATGGGGAGAGGTGTGCAGATGGGTGAGCGCAGTCCTTCGGGTATTCATTTGTTCTTTCTGTTGTTCATTCCCAGTGGGGTTCCCAGGCCTTTCACAACATGCGGATTATTCCCCCTGGCTCAGGAATCATTCACCAGGTGAATTTGGAATATTTGGCAAGAGTAGTATTTGATCAGGATGGATGTTATTACCCAGACAGCCTGGTGGGCACGGATTCACACACGACCATGATTGACGGTTTGGGCGTTCTTGGTTGGGGTGAGTCTTCTCCTACATTTCTGTTCTGTGTGCTGGTCTAGAGCATGCACCTTCCTGTACTTTGATGCCATTAGGGCTCAGTGGTCTATGTTTGTATGACCTCAAATGTAGGAGGGTGCTTTGGTCTGTTGTGTTTACTGCTGTAGTTTTAAGTGCCTTGTACCCAGGGATCATTCAGTTTTTCTTTGGGAAAAAATAAACTGGAATAAGTTTAGGGACATTTGCATAAGTGAAAATCAGACAGACATTTTTAGCAGTTGGAGCCTCCTAAGCCTACTCTCCATTGAGTGTGGCACTGAAGAGATTTCTTTCAGGTTTTCTGTGGGGGAGGGGTGGGGGAGGAAGGCAAACTTTGAGAAACACTTGTTAAAAAAATTCTATGGGGTAATAGAGAAAATCTATATCACACAGATATATCAGTCTGTGCTGATTTAACATGGTACCTGGTAACTGGGTATATTTTGTTGTGGCTGAGGGTGTAGAGAGCACTTGGAAAGCATCATTCTGGCTTTCTGTTCACTGCAGGTGTGGGTGGTATCGAAGCAGAAGCTGTTATGCTGGGCCAGCCCATCAGCATGGTGCTTCCCCAGGTGATTGGCTACAGGCTGACAGGAAAGCCTCACCCTCTGGTAACATCCACCGACATCGTGCTCACCATTACCAAGGTAATGATCCACGGCCCCCTCTCTGGTCTTGGAAAACAAGTGACAGGGCAGAAACACATAATGGAGTCTGTGTGCTATAGAGAGGCTAGAATACAGTATTTTCATAATTTTAAAACTAAAATGAGATAAGGACTTGTGGTTCAGTTTAGATGGTTATCCTTATCGTACTCTTTTTCTTAATGTTTGAAATTGTGACAAAGTGCATAGAAGTTCAGATGATATTGATGTTCCTGACACCTAGATTTAAGAGATGATCGTATTTCACCATGTTTATTTCGGCTCTGTTTTTAAAGAATTAGTGTGCAATATTTATTGTCAAACTATCCTCCTGTTCCCAGAAATAATCATTATCTAGAGGTTGAAAAGCATTCTCACACATGTTCATATACTTTTGTTAATTTTTTCCACATAAATCTTTTCTTTTTATTATATTATATTTTTATTTATTTATGGGGGCGCACATGCCGTGGTGCGTGTGAGGAGGTCAGAGGACACCTTTCGAGAGTCAGTTCTCTCCTTCCACCGTGTGGGGTCACAGAGATTGAACTTGGCAGCAAGCACCTTTACCCACTGAGCCATCTTGCCAGCCCCATACGGATCTTTTTGTATGTAAATAGCAAATTAGTTCCCTGAGTAATGTTAGACTTTTTAAAAGTTTCTCCTCTTATAAGTGAAATTATTACAGCAGATATATTTCCAAGTTTGAAAATGTTAGGGCTTTTTTTTCTTAAGCTTTTGCAGGAAACAATCTGTTTTTTTCTGATTCATTTGCTTTACAAAATGGAAGGTGGTTTCATTTGGAAAAATATTGGAAAAGTGATGTTTTTTATTATCATAAACACCTTTTTTCTGATCATGTAATTTAGAGGTCCTTTGTATAGATACCATGCAGAAAGGGGCCAAATTTTTTCTCTGATTTAATCTTTTTTAACTTTAAAAAAGATTATTTTATGTGTGCAAGTGTTTTGCCTGCATGTAAGGGCAACCATGCATGCAATGCCCATGGAGACCAGAAGAGGGCATTGGATCCCCTGGAACTAGTGTTGAAGCCGCGTTGTTAGCTGCTATGTGGATACTGGGGACTAAACCCTTGTCCTCTGCACAGGCAGTGAGTACTGTTAACAGCTGAGCCATCACTCCAGCCCCATCTTTGATTTAATCTTTATGGAATTTGGAATTGTATTTATTTGGGTACTATACATTATCACAGTTCTATCCAGTAGTTCTTCAAAATGGAATAACAGAGCTTGCCCACAAAATTTGGCAGAATCCACCTAACCAAAGGAGCTTTTCCATATAGTTGTCAACTGTTGGTGAAACTGGCTTCATGCATAGCTATATCATCATAGAAACTCAGCCCTGACTAGTAGCTTATGTGGATGGACAATCTAGATGGGTTTTGTTGCATGTGATTTCCAGTTGTAGCAATAACTTTGTGCATTATATCTTTGAAAACAAGTTATTTGCTTAGTGTGATTATATAAGAATTTACTTGTTAGCTTTTTTTTTTTTAATCTGAAATACCAAATTGGGCTAATTTATTATTTATGTTCTAAAGGTCAGTTTATGAAAATTGCAAAAAGATAGTTGAGTGTTTTAAATGTGGACTATCAAGCCTCAGACATTCCTGTTTCTGTTGCACAGCATCTCCGGCAGATTGGGGTTGTGGGCAAATTTGTGGAGTTCTTTGGACCGGGAGTAGCCCAGCTATCCATTGCTGACCGAGCTACAATTGCCAACATGTGCCCAGAGTATGGAGCCACTGCTGCCTTCTTTCCAGTTGATGAAGTTAGTATCAAGTACCTGGTGCAGACAGGTAAGTGAAGGACTGAAAACCGAGGACTCCCTGTTCATGTGTCAGAGGACACTGAGCATCCCAGCCCCGCCTTCTGCCTCCCCCACGTCTGCTCTTACGTTACAGTTACACAATGGTTTTTGCCTTTCTGTGGAGACAAAGTGTGTCACTGAGATTTAAAGAGGTGTGAGGTGGGGCTAATATGGCTGTAGAAAGAGGTCTGGTGCCCCAGAACCCTGATATGTAGACTGCTTTTCAGCTGCTAACTTTTTGACCTTAACATGTGATCATAGAGATGATAGCTCTTGTCTGTGAGGTACCTGTAAGTGCCAGGCCCAGGTATGCACCCCTGCCATCCTCTTCATATATCTATAGGGCAGACTGACTTATTAGTTGATTAGATCATAGAAGAGAAAATGAGGATCAGAGCAGTATTATTGCCCAAAACTAATAGGAAATCCTCTACCTTGCTCCAAACAGTTCAGGGCTATACTCTGGTGACACAGCACTGTGTGTTAAGTAAGATTCTAGACTTTGGATACAGATTCACATCCAGATCTTGGTTCTGCCATTTACTGGCTCTGTTCCTTGGAGAAGTTACCTAATAATTTTCCTAAGCTGGCATTTCCTCGTCAGTAAATGAGAGTAGTAATAGGACTTGTCTCATAAGATCATGGTGAAAGATCAGAGATTGAAGTAATTCATTTAAAACATTTAACGCACAGTGCCAGGTATACAAAGAACACTTGTGGGCTGGAGATATGACTTGGCAGTTGAAAGCACCAGCTGCTCTTGTAGAGAACCCAGGTTCAGTTCCCAGCACCCACATGGCATCTAACAACCATCTGTAACTCTGGTTCCAGGGCATCAGACTCCCTCTTATGATCTCCATAGGCATTTCATGACGTGGGTGCACTTACACACATACAGGCAGTACACTCATACACATAAGAATAGTTAAACAAAGAAAAATTAAATAAATAAATAAATAAATAAATAAATAAATAAATAAATAAATAAATAAATAAAGCAAGCACTTGCAAGCCAAGGTCTGGGGAGGTTGTTATTATTTTAACAAAACTAATGTGCTGTGCTAAGAATCTTCATGGGCAAATTGAAGGCAGATGCACACATGTTCTTTGACTGTAGGTTCAAACTTAGAATACTTTATTTTGTTTTGAAAACGTGTTCATCTATAGCCCTGGCTGGCCTGGAACTCACTATGTAGACCAAGCTGGCCTCAAACTCACAGAGCTCTGGCTGCCTATGCCTCCTGAGTGCTGGGATTTAAGGCATGTGCCACCACTTGTGGCTTGCTCAGGATCCTCTTAATTAGGACTATAACCCAAAATGCATATTTAAAAGTACAATGAAAATATTTTCCATAAAAGTCACCTCGGTAGAAATAAGATGACCCCTAATAAAAAGCACCATCAGTTGGAGAGTTCAGACTGTCTCTAAGCCTAAAAACCGAAGAGCTGTTGGTGCATGGGAGACCCATGTTACCTACATCCTGCAGAGGCAGGTATCAGTTATAGTCTTGAACTAGGAAATACTAACATGTATTGTTGTTACTCGTGCTATTCAGGTCGTGATGAAAGCAAAGTGAAGCACATTAAAAAGTATCTTCAGGCTGTAGGAATGTTTCGAGATTTCAACGACCCCTCTCAAGACCCAGACTTCACTCAGGTATGAGCACCTTCCAACAAGCATGTTTGTTCTTTCCCAAGGCTGTGGCTTCAGTTGACTGTGTTTTTTCAGGGGTGGTGCAGTTAAAAGAAATTAGTCACTAGCATGTCATTGTAAGGGAACAGGGTGGTAAAAGACTGAAAAAGGAAAAGGTTAAGGAAGTTGTAAGCATATCAGATCATTTCTTTGAATTACTGCTGACCTAACCATTATAAATTGAATATTCCCTCCCCCAACTACTCATTCACACCCTCTGCATGGCAGGTGGTTGAAAGACTTTGCTAGAAGATTGGCGAGTAAAGAAGATTTGGGCCCCATACATCATTGAGAGATGGAAGTGCCCACTGAGTGGAAAGCCTGTTTCCTGCAGAGATGGCTTATGGCTGCATCCCTCCCAAATCCCCTTAGCAGTGTATTGGCTTATGTGCCATTTCTATAGAAAACCAATATAAAAAACCGTATAAGAGCTTCTTATATATGGCAAGCAGAAGAGAGTAGACAGCCTCTAAACGCCCACTCCCATCTGTCTGAGAGGCAGCAAGGAATCTTCCTGGTCCCCTGCTACTCCGGTGCCCATCTTGCTATTGGGAAATTAATCTCTTAGTTGTCAAGATGAACACTGGCTTCTTGCTTGGAATGCAGTGGTTTGTTTATGTTGATTGTTGGGATGTTGTAATGATTGTGCTGCTGCTTTATGAATTCTGTGATTACTTTTGGCTTGGATATACAGGCTGTGGAGTTAGATTTGAAAACAGTTGTGCCTTGCTGCAGTGGACCGAAAAGGCCTCAGGACAAAGTCGCCGTGTCCGACATGAAGAAGGACTTTGAGAGCTGCCTTGGAGCCAAGGTAGGGCCTCTGGGCTCCACCCTGTGCCCTGTTTCTTAGTGCCCTGGCTTTCACTGCACTTCGTGATGAATCTTCCTGAAGGCTAGTGCTGAGGGCATTTCTTCTCCATTCTAAATCCTTCATGACCCCCGTCCACTGCTAGCTGTGGGCCAAGCAGCTTCCCCAGAGCACATGCCCACCTATAAATACAACCCACCTGTGTAAGCATGCCTCCTTTTCACATGGCCACCATGTTGTTCACTCTGCTCACTCTCGCTTCACTGGATACATCTCTCCATTCCATCCTGAGACATCCTGGTCTGTCAGATCTGTAAGGTTTGGCTCAGATACCAACTTCTCTGTAGCATGGCCCTGGCATCTCCTCGTGGAAAGTCATCTTTCCCTCACTTAAAACTCATGGCACTTGACCTGAAGCCCCTTGGGTAGGATTCCATAGTCTTTAACGTACACTGTTGGTGCATTATTTACATGTAGGATTCCCCTTACTGAACTGTACCTTTGAGTCAAATTTGTGTTATAATCATTTTGGTATCCCACAAATCACGTAGCGTAATGTCTCTGTACATACTTTCCAGTGAGCATTTCCAAGATGAATGATTTGGATGGGTGATGGACTTTATCCATGAGGCATCAGCATTCTACTAAAGGTTCAGCTGTATTTTGCATTATTGATTAGATGAAAGTGACAGTAATAAAAGTGGCACCTTTCTTCAAATTTTCATAAGGTTGGAATCAGTGGTCTTGTCAGGCCATAGCCATGAAACTCTAATGTCTTGACAGTCTTTGCAGACTAACTTTGAACTAAATTTGTAGTTTTAGCACCCCTCTTTGGAGGAAGGAATAAAACAATTGTTACTGACTTCATTACTGAGCAAGATTCAGGAATTTTGGCTGCATTTTACAATATTTAAAAAGAATAAAGAGAAGCTTAAATTTTTCTGTTGTATTTCAAAGTTTACTGGTGAAAATACTTGTTTTATAAATTGACACTTAAAATTACAGGTACCAAACTTCTTCCAAAGTGAGAATTTTGACAATATATATTTTTTCTTTTTAACAGAATATGTAAGTCTTATTCTTGTGTATAATGTTTACATATTTTACTTTCCCACAGCAAGGATTTAAAGGTTTCCAAGTTGCTCCAGACCATCACAATGACCATAAGACATTCATCTACAACAACAGTGAATTTACTCTTGCTCATGGCTCTGTGGTAATCGCTGCCATCACCAGCTGCACAAACACCAGCAATCCATCTGTGATGTTAGGAGCAGGTAAGTGCATTTGCTTCCTTCCTCATGGGTCATGTGTGGCGGGGGGGAGGTGTGTGTGTGCAGAAGTCTCAAGTCTCCTAAGACAATACCCAAGGTCAAGATGGCATCTTACTTATCATTCCTAGGTCTGTCTTTCCACATATAAAGATTGATTGGTGCAGAAAATTTCTGCACAACAAATAACATCCAAAGCAAAGTACTCAAAGTAGAGTTCATAATGTGTAATAGTCTTTCCCTTTAGAACTAGCACAAAAAATAAGTACAGGAAGGCAGTGGAAGCTGAATTTCTGCTAACACCTGGAATCTGATCATACTTGAGAAAGGAGAAAATAGGAAAGAATCTGCTGTCATGTCATAGACTTTGTTTCCTTAAAGCCCTGACCAGTGAGACCTTATGCTCTCTTGGTGCACTGGCAGTTGCAGCTGATCAAGGTACAGGGCACTGGTTGATGAAGCTCAGTGTGCCCAGTCTATTATGCAGTGCTGTGAAGTAGTTAATATTTACATGTAGGGTTCACCAATATAAGATCTCTTTAGTTTCCAAATGTTTAATCACCCTCAGGAGCTTCCCTCAGGTCCAAAGACTAGTGTCAGTACTTCTTTCTTTGTGGGCCTAAGGAAAACCTTTTAGAGTTCAGCTTTGCCACCTAAACTTTCCATGTCTGCAACAAACCAGTTTTCTCAGGACACATCACTGGCCACCCACAGTCCTTGTCTCTTTCTACCCTTCCCTTCATGCCTCTCCCCTGCCTACATCTGTGACACTTCCTAAGTCAGAGCACATGCTGTTCCAGTCACAGTTCAGAGGCCCAGGACCTCTTGCTTTTCCACTTGAGAATATATGTAGTCTAGATTTGTACTTACAGGCTGCCTGTACTCCTTGCCAGTCAGTACACAATTCATGTACTTCAGAAAGAGCCCTTCCTATTCAGAAAGAGCCTTATTACCTTTCATCCAAATCAAATAAAATTAGATCAGTTTCTCTCCAGAAATTTAAAACTGATTTTGTAAAATATTTCTAAATGGCCAGGCATGGTGGCACATGCCTTTAATCCCAGCACTCGGGAGGCAGAGGCAGGCGGATCTCTGTGTGTTCAAGGCCAGCCTGGTCTACATAGTGAGTTCCAGGACAGCTGGGGCTACAGGGAGACCCTGTCTCAAAAAGCCAAAAAAAAAAGTCTAAATGGTTTAGGGTCTGTTTCTTAAATGGAGTGGAAGCCCATCTCTTCTTTATTTCCATGATTCATTTGGGCTTGCTACATGAATTATTTCAGGGTAGTGAACTTTTTATTTGTCAGGCAGGAAATGCAACTGAAAAATAGCAGAAACAGAGCAGGCTCTTTCAGGTGTTCTTGGCACCCAGAGTCAACAGCCACCCATGTGTTCACCTGGTGTTCATCATTTCACAGGGTTATTGGCAAAGAAAGCTGTGGAGGCAGGTCTGAATGTGAAGCCATACATTAAAACCAGCCTGTCTCCGGGAAGTGGCGTGGTCACCTACTACCTGCGAGAGAGTGGAGTCATGCCTTATCTGTCCCAGCTTGGGTGAGGGAGAGTTTTCTTTTATGCCTTGGCTTTCATTGCGGTCCTTGGGTATCAGTGTCCCTGTGTAGCAGTTGTAAGCTTATCTGACGCTGTGCACTTGCGCATCTTACATCACTTGGTAGGTGGACTTAAACCCTGGCATTGCAGCTGCACAGCCCCCTCGGACAGTTGTGCTGCTTGTTCATCATACAAGAGTGAACCCTGTGCTTCCATGTGGCATTCCCTCCCCACCCAGGAGGGGGCGGGCTCCTGTCCTTGTACCATGGGCTGGTAGTGGCTCTTCAGCTTTTGGCATGAAAGTAATTATTTACCATAACTGTAGACATTCTAGTCCTTGGGGCAAATTAGTGATTAGCTGCCAGAACAGCTTCTCCAGTTACCATTTAACTCCATGTTATAAGTAAACCATATAAATTGCATCCTTCTTGGGCAAGCTGTATCCACAAAGCTTCTCTTTCAGGAGGGAGAGCTCTGTGGAATGGTACTATCCTGAACTCACTCTGGTATCACTGTCCTTTATGACCTGTGGATTCTAGGAAGTGTTCCAGCAGAAGGGCTCACTGGAAGTGACCATTTCTTGTGCCTTCCCTTTTGACACTAGATTTGACGTGGTGGGCTATGGCTGCATGACCTGTATTGGCAACAGTGGACCCCTGCCTGAACCTGTGGTAGAAGCCATCACTCAGGTAATAACAGAGGAGGCTGCAGTCTTTAGGATGTGGTTAGCGGCATGGTCTTTAGTGCTAAAATTATTAGCTGTTAATGTTGGGCAAGTTTTTTTAACTGGTTTGTGCCTCAGTTTCCCAAACTGTAAATTAGGGGTGGTAATTGTATCTGTTTTAGGGAATAATGAGAAGTATGATGGGAATGTGAAACACCAGAGCAGCGCCTGGAGTCCAAAGAAGTGCTCAGCATGTGTTGGTTTTGACCACTAAGAACTCCAGAATTATTTGTTGCTGGTCATTTGAAACGATTCAGAATGAAACAAGTCTCATTAGAAATGAATCTAAATTGAATTGCGTTGGCTTGATTTTTGTCCCCACAGTTCTATTGCCTTGAAAATTACTGTTGGATCTGTTGCCATGCTGACATTTAGTCTTTTCTACCTGTTCTTAGGCCCTGACAGCAGTAACCAGGATGCTGTGTGCTAACCTATCTTATTTCCTCATGAGCAGATGTCACTGACTGACACTGTGCCACTTTCAACCCAGAGCATTTCCCCTCGGGCACCCTTGTCTCCCCTTCTCCCTGTGGCAGGACACCAGGTGAAAAGGGCAGCTGAAAGCTCTGTCCATGTGATGTGAAAACTGTTACAGCTGGTCTCATAGAGCAGTCTAGGCAGTGTCTTTCCTTTGTGATCTGACAGTTCTCTTACCTTGCACAGGGAGATCTTGTAGCTGTTGGAGTGCTATCTGGAAATAGGAATTTTGAAGGTCGAGTCCATCCTAACACCCGAGCCAACTATTTAGCATCTCCCCCATTAGTAATAGCCTATGCAATCGCAGGGACCATCAAGATTGACTTTGAGAAAGAGCCTTTGGGTAAGATTTTGTTTTTGTGATTTTTTTTTTTTCCAGTGAATTAAAAATGACTGAAAGAAAGTTGTTGCTTTTGTTAATAAAAAATGAAATACAGACTCTCTAAAGAGCCATGTTGTCATGACTCACATCTTTAGTCCCAGCACTAAGGAAGCAGAGGCCAGGGGATCTCTGAGTTCAAGGCCAGTCTGGTCTACATAGTGAGACTCTGTCTAGAAAAAAAATACCAGAAGAGAGTCTTTTCACTGTTCTCTAATACGCAGCAAAAACTTAATGGACAGAAGTAAACAATGCTATTGATGGTTGCAGGTGGCAAAAGGGATGTAAATCCCCAAAGTATTAGCTGTCGGCCACTCCGGCTTCTCCTGAGGGCCCTCGCTTTCCCTGCTGCTGGACTCCACAGCTTTTTTTTAATGTATGTCGTGTAGGCGCGCACTCCACGTTTCGGCTTCTCACAGTCAGGACTGGTGCTTCGTCTCCTCCCTTGGGCCTCATGCTGCCCTCCTCGTCCAGTCTAAGGAGATAAGATACCATGGAGGCAATGTCCTTAGACTGACTTTTAGAAAACCAGAACTTCTGAGGGGCAGTTGGTCTTCATTAATTATGGGTTCTATATTTGTAATTTTGCCTACTTGCTAAAATGTATTTTAACCCCAAATCAGTATTCCTAGTATTTTCATGGCCTTTCATAGACATGTGCATGGGGTGAAAACTCCTGAGTCACTCAGTGTACACATTCAGTGCAAGGTTGAGTAGCTACTGGCTCTGAGTCCTCAGTTAATGAGACTGACATTGTATGGTCGCCCGCAGTCTCCATGGGAGACTGCTTTCAGGACCTGATAACTCAAGGATCTAATGTAAAATGACAAAATATTTGCATGTCACCTGCAGGTCATCTCTAAATTACTCATTATACCTCTGACAGTGCAAATGCTATATAGCTATGTAAATATTGTATTATATAGGTAATAATGTTAAAAAAATACATGTTTAATATGGGCAAATTTTTTTTGTTTTCAGTCTATAATTGGTTGAGTTAGCAAATATAAAACCTACAAGTCTGGAGGCCAAACCACACACTAAATATCTTTAAACAAAAGAACATGTAATGCAAGGTTATGTATTGATCAGTTGATGAAAATGTGGCCAGAAGCTCTGGGGACTTAAGGTTTATTTCCCCAGTGGCAGGAATCTGTATTTACTAGTTTAGTGTTTACATAGAATTTATGGAACATAACTCCTGAGAAAACAGATCTGTGTGATACTGAAAATGGGTGTTAGAGGAAGGTTTTCTCATTAGTAGCATGCTTTCCCCAGGTGTGAATGCACAAGGACAGCAAGTATTCCTGAAGGATATCTGGCCAACTCGAGATGAGATCCAAGCGGTGGAACGGCAGTATGTCATCCCTGGGATGTTTAAGGAGGTCTACCAGAAAATAGAGGTAAGACACGACACACCCAACACACACTGCCTGCCCTGTGACCCTTGAGGCTAACAGGAGTATAAACTGTAGAGAAGAACATTTATTTCTTTGGTTAACTAGGGAAGTGTTCTCCGTTACTTTTCTCCATGGCTTACATTTTTACAAAAACCATACTTCTTGTGTGTTCTCAGATTCGGACGACTCTGGGACATACAACCTCAATAAGAAAGTCCCCAGGTCCATCTCTCCAGTAACTCTGCCCCATTTTCAGACACCCCAGGGCATCTCTTGTGTTGAGGACCATGGTAGTTAACTGTATTATATCACTAAGGTAGAGTCAGTCGATTGAATATACCTCTTTCTTAAAAAACATATTTTCTTTATTATTTTTATTTTATGTGTTTGAGTGTATTGCTTGCCTGCATGTGTGTAAGTGCACCTGTGTCATGCAGAGGTCACAGAGGTCAGAAGAGGGCTTTGGATCCCCTGGAATAGGAGTTACAGACTGTTGTTAGCCACCATGTAAAGGGCTAGGAATCGAACCTGGGTCCTCTGCAAGAGCAGCCAGTGAGCTCTTAACCACTGAGCCATCTCTCCAGCCCTGAATATACCTCTTAAAAGATCATTTGAGTGCTAAAAAATGTATTAAAATCAGGAACCAAATTGCTTACATTTTAAAATTGCATTTTAAAATATGAGAGAATGTGTAGGACTCATCATTTTCTGAGCCTCTTCCTTGAATTCTTTTCCCTGCTCTCTGTGGTAAGATCACTGAGGTCTTCTGTCTAGGGATGGTAATTTGAAATGAGAATAAGACTGTCTAGACTGGTTCTGGGCATGGTAGTCATGCCCTGTTCCCTTCCACAAGCTGCTCACTGGGAAATGGTATTGGGGAGTTTGGCAGCCATCTGGTTAATTGTATTTCTGAAAAAAGCAAATTAATGGATCTTTTTTATTTATTCATTTTTACTTTATGTGTATGAGTTTAGCCTACATGTAAGTGTGTGTAATGCCTGTGGAAGCCACAAGAGGGCAACAGATCCTCAGGAACTGGAGTTACAGAAAGTTGTTAGCCACAAACGGGTGCTGTGAACCGCAGCCAAATCCTCTGAAACAACCAGTACTCTTAACCTCTGAACCATCTCTCCAGCCCCCAAGTTAATGGATCTTTGAAGACAATTCATGCCTGTAGCTTTCATTTGTTGTCCAGTGTGCATGTGATCTGGAAATCCAGTTCCCAGAACATTCCGATTGTATGTATTACGTTCCAAGAGCTTCCCCTTTGGTACAGTATCGATTATTTCATAAGTTAATGTTTTAAAAACTACATTCATTATCTGTTGGGTCCTTCAGCATTCCATCATGGATGGAAGAGGGGCTCATGAGGCCCTACCCCCTCCCTGAGGTGCTATTGACATTAACAATTGCTTGGGGAAGGAGAAACCTTTTCTTCCATAGTGTAGCCATTGGCAAGGTGCCCACATTCCAGTAAGTAACCTCTACCTATGCTCATACAAGCAACTCAAATCAAATTCAGTGAGTTAAAAAAAAAAAAAAAAAGCTGGGAAAATAGGGGACTAGATGGAAGAAAGGGGG